TTTTTTTTTTCAGTGAGGCAGTTGGGGTTAAGTGACTTGCCCAGAGTCACACAGCTAGGAAATATTATGTCTCTGAGGCCGCATTTGGACTCAGGTACTCCTGACTCCAGGGCCAGTGCTCTATCCACTGCACCACCTAGCTTCCCCATTTCAGTTATGTCTTACTCTTCATGACTCCATTTGGCATTTTCTTGGCTCCAGCTCATTTTAGAGATGAGGAAACTGAGGCCAACAGGATTAAGTGACTTTGCTTTAAGTCAGCTTATTTAAAAAGACTTAGTGTATTTTATTTGACATTTTCTATTGTTACCAACAAACATTTTATTACGTTAAATTCTGGTAAGTATTTGTTAAATTGGATCTGTCAAATACCTACCATGTGCAAGGCACCATGATAGGAGCTAGGGATACAAAGTTGAAAAACTGAAACAACATTTTCTCTCAAGGAGCTTACAATCTAACGTGTGTTAAAGTGGAATTGGAGGAATGTGATATAAGTGAGAGCAGGGCTCAAAATCCATCACCTACGTAATCCTAGGCAAGTCACCTACCTTCTGGGCTCCAACTAAAAAGAATGAGTTTGGGACTAGATGATTTCTAGTAGTCTTTCCAACTCTAAATCTATGATGACTCTGCTATCGTAAGTGTGACACTATGTGGAATGTGTTCAGGGCAATGGAAAGGTTTGCAGAGTGCTGTGAGAAATTGGTGGAGCGAAAAGGAATTTTCACTTGAAAAAATCGAGGAGGCCTTTAGAAATGGATAGATGAAAAGCATTTATTAAGCACTTATTGTGTGTCAAAACAAATATAAAAGTGAGATAGTGCCTACCTTCAAGAAGCTTATGTTCTCGTAGGGGAGACAACATACATAAGAAAATGGTGGTCTGGAAAGGTGGTTATGATGTTGGATATTAAGCAGAACCACTAGGCAGTCCATTAATATACCCTTTCCAGAGGCATATAGCTGAATACAGCTCCCAGGGCAAGAGCTAGAAGAGGAAGGAAGAGGATGTCTCCAGTAGCAGGGTAGACAGTGGTGAGAGTGGTTATGAGGACATCGAGAAGAGAAAACAGGATGAGAATTAAGGACAGGCTATAGTAGACCAGTTTGGCTAAAAGAGAATGCATGAATGGAAGTAGTATAGAATGCTGGACAGGCAGGTTTGAAACTAGATCATTTAGCACCTTTGATGCCAGCCAGGAATTTTACATGTATTCCCCAGGCAACAGGGAGTTTGTGCCTGGTGGCTTGTTTGTTTTCTTGTCATGGTCACACGTAGAAAATTTTCTCACGCAAATGTGAACAGTGTTTGGAATTGGGGTTAAACTGGAGGGAGGGATATCAGAAAGAAGGTTGTATTTTAATAGAGTAGAAAATAGATAAGAACATTAACTATATTGGCTGTGATAAAAGTGGAGAGAGAGAAGTGGATATAAATGATATTGCAAGGGTGAAATTATAGGCCAGGGTGGGGGACCTGCGGCCTCAAGGCCACATGTGGCCTTCTCAAGTGTGGCCTTCTGACTGAATCCAAACTTCACAGGACAAATCCCCTCAATAAAAGGATTTGTTCTGTAAAATTTGGCCTCAGTCAAAAGGCCACACTCAAGGACCCAGAAGACCACATGTGGCCTCCACGAGGCCACAGATTCCTCACCCCATTACGGGCCTTCACAAACTGATGGTCTGTTTGCTGCCTTTCACCTCCTTCTCCCATTCCCAAAGATGACTTTGTGGACCAGTGAGTGACTGGAAGCCTTATGAACAGAACCAGGTATGCCAGGGTAAGAGCAAAGTTTCACAGAATGGTTGTATTTAGTTGGAGATACCTTGACTTGCAGGAGCTGACAGGGCATCCCAGGAGGCATATAAAGCATGCAGTTGAAGGCACAGGACTACATTGGAGTAAGTCTGGAGTGCAGATACAAATTTGGTTGTCATTTCCGTGGAAGGCATGGGAGAGGAGCAGGTCATCAAAGAAGAACATGCAAAGAGAAAAAAAAAAGGAAGAGGACCTAGAGCAAAACCTTGGAGACCACCTAAGAATTGGAAGATGAGCTGGCAAAGAACAGATGGGAAAAGAGCAGTCAGAGAGTTGGGGGCAGGGGCAACATTTAATTTGTTTAATATTGAAGATACGAGAAATACACTAATGGTATATGAAATTGTGCTTTCTTCACTGGGAAGAGTTGGTATAATATTTTTATGTGTAGGTGAAAACAGAATATAGTTCAGATTTCAGATGAAAAAATGTTAGATTAAAGTTGTTTTCAGTAAAATGTAAAGTTTTGGAGTTTTCAAGAGACTTTTTAATTTTTAATCTTCATATCCCAAGTAACTACCCCAGTGCCTCACACACAGTAGGTGCCTAATAAATGTTTGTTTAATTAAAATGAATTAATATTTTGTGATATAGTAAATATTTTTACTATGAGCTGGTGGGTGCATATTTAATCATTTAAATTGGACAAAGACAGAGGAGAGTTCTTGAAAGAGATAAAAGCAAGACTTGCTAGAAAGCAGTTCACATAAAAAAATGGAGAGGTTTGGATGGAGTGTAGACTGAGTATGAGGCAGCCAGTAAACCATGTAATATGACAGCCCTCCCATGCTACACACACACACACACACACACACGACTATATGGTCCTTGGCTGCATCGAGAATCCTAAAAGTAAAATGGGAAAGGCCCACGGTATTCTGCCGTGGTCAGTCTGCATGTGGAGTATTGTACATTCTGGGTGTTATATTTTAGAGAACTTCTAGAGAAGTATGGTGAAGAGCCTCAAGATCCTGCCATATGAGGATCCCCTGAAGGAACTGGGGGTGTTTAGCATGGAGAGAAGAAGTCTTAGGAGGAACATGATAGCTGTGTTCAAAAATTTCGGATGCTGTCATGTGAAAGAGGGATTAAACATCTTGGACCTAGAATTAAGAATGAGAACCAATAGATGGTAGTTGCAAAGAGGCCAATATAGGGTTAATTTCAAGGGGAAAAAAACAAAACAAAACAACTTCCTAGCAATTAGAGATGCCCAGAAGTAGGGTGGGCTGCCCAGAGTGGTAGTGAGCTCCACTTTGTTGTGGGTCTTCGAACAACAACTGAATGACTAGTTCAATTCAACAAGGACCTCTAAGCATCTGTCATGGACCACTATGTAAGGCGCTATGAATACAAAAACACAAACAAAATATTGCCTCCTGTCCCTCCTGTAGAGGAACTTGCATCATACCTGGATGACCAACCACTCATCTCACGTTACAGAGGGATTCTTGTTTAGGTACAGAGAGGTTGGGTCAGGTGTTCTCTCAAGTTCATAGGATCATTTTCCTCTCTAAATTTAGAGTGTGAAGAATTATCAGAGCATTACTACCCTGACATACACTTACAAAAAATGAATTATAATTGCATTTTTTGAAATGTAAATTTTACCTCTTACTTTGTAAAATACTTTCAGATCTATTTTACTGAAAGTAATTTTCTTTATTAAGGACTGACCACAGTATCAAAGGATGAAAGTAAGGAAGATTATGTACTTTCTCAGGGATTTTGATTTTGATTTTGGTTTTATTTTAATTTTTCTCACAATGTAGTAAAAACTTGAAAATTCTTGCTTTTGGTTCATTTCATAATCAGTCAATAAATGTTTATTAAATGCTTGTTCTGTGCCAGGCGCTATCGTAAGAACTAGAGATACAAAGCAAGGCAAAAGACAGTCTAAAGACTAAAAGAGTTCCCAGTCTGACATGGGAGACAATAAACAAACAACTATGCACAGAGAAGCTACGTACAGGATACACTGGAAACAATGAACAGAGAGAAGGCACTGAAATGAAGGGGAATTGGGGAAACACAGGTGTCATCAAATAAATCTTTTGTGTTGTTCAGTCATTTCAGTCATGCCCAACTCTTCATGACCCCATTTGGGGTTTTCTTGGCAAACGTACTGGAGTGGTTTTACCATTTCCTTCTCCAGCTCACTTTGCAGATGAGGAAACTGAGGCAGAGTTAATTGACTTGCCCAGGGTCACACAGCTGTTAAGTGTCTGAGGCCACATTTGAACTCAGGTCTTCCTGACTCTTGGCCTAGCTGCTCCATAAATTCTAAAACATAAAGTAATCTTTTCATGACAGATTTGTGAACTTACAATATTTGTGTGTGGTAGGGATTTTAAGCTTTATTTGATGGGATAATATGTAATCATAGGCCCTGTGTCTAGTGGATAGCTAATTGACCCTAGAACTAGGAAGACACAGATTCAAATTCCAGCTCTGCTACAAGCTGGCTGTGCAGCCCTAAGCAAGTCATTTAACTTGGAATTACTCTAGGCAGCTCTCTTAAGAATCAATTGCGAAGACTGGTCTCTATTGGTAGAGAATTTCCTCATCTGGGGCTTCCTTACATCAGTGAAATTGCAGGCCTTTTACCTGCCCCTAATAAATAACTATTAACTATATTATTTGTTTCAATCATACAGATAGACCAATTACTGATCCATCAGCAAGTTGAACTTCTGGAAGGTATGTACCTACTGTATTACCTTATTGTATTTTAATCAACTCCTATCTATAAAGTGTATTCTTGTTTCAATTGGGCAAATAAATCTTGGTGAAGGGCAGATAGCACTGGGTACGGTTCTTCTGGGCTGTGCTTCTCAATAATTGGATCATTAATTGTGGGCATATCCCAAGGCTCTCTTGGTCAATAGCATTTATTAAAGCCTACCTCTTGGGTGTTATAGTTTCCTTCACGATTCAGCTACAGTACCATCTTTGGCATTCAGCCTTCTTTCATCCCCTAGCTGTTAGTACTTTCCCTTAATCCCTACAAATCACCTTATATCTATTTTGTACATACTTATTCTTATACAATTATCTCCACCAGCTGGCTGTCAGCTTCTCAAGAGCAGGAATGTTTCATCTTTGTCTTTGAATCCCTAGTGCCTGGCATGGTGTCTGGAATATAATCAAAATTTAGTAACTGATTATTGATTGGTCAGTTGATTGATAGAAGTGTTAAATTTACAATATGAATAAGTTGAGAATTAGATAGTAAACCATTCAGTTAAAATAGAGAAATGTCAAGTTATATTAAGTCTACATGCATTTATTAAGTACCTGCTATATGCCAGGTACTGTACAACTGATGACCATGAACCATTTAAAGTATTAGATTTAGGGGTAGCAAGGTGGTGCAGTGGATAGCGCACCAGCCCTAAAGTCAGGAGGACCTGAGTTTAAATCCAGTCTTAGACCAAACACTTGACGCTTAACTAGTTGTGTGACCCTGGGCAAGTCACTTAACCCCAATTGCCTAAAAAAAAAAAATGAAGTATTAGATGTAAATTATTTTAAAGTGTTTAGATTTAAATTTATTTATTTATTATTTGGTTTTTTATAAACTGTGTTCTACTTAGGGTAGCAAAAAGAGCATTAGATTAGCAGTTAGCTTGATGGCTGACCCTCTGCCACTCCCCTCAACTCCCATTCTCTAGTTTCTTTATGCCTTTGCTACCTGTAAAAATACCAAGTTCTCTCATTTGGCCAAGACATCTACTTGAATCATTGTCCTCTTACTCCCTGGTCCTCTTTATTGTCCCATTTCTAGTGTCATTTTATTGCATCTGCTTCCTCCCTACCTGCTTCTTAATCCCTTAAAATAGCATTCATCTTCCAAATGTAACTGCTTCCTCTAAGGTCTCTTAATCGATAGAGCTGATAACCGTTTCTGTCTTCATGCTACTTGAGCATTCTTTGGTTTTTGAAGTGATCAGCTCCCCCCCTTCTGCAAATCTCTCCTCCCTTGGCTTGCCTGACACTTTCATTACCTATTTCTTTTGACCTGTGTGACCATGCCTGGACTGGAAACTTTTTTCTATTTTCACATTTTCTTGATGAACTCCTCATATGCCATGATTTCAACTATCTCCCTGCAGATGACTCCTGAAACCATGTAATCTGCACTAATCTTTCTCCTGAACTCCTGTTTCTCATTGCCAGCTGCATGCTGGACTTCTCTACCATATTTCATTAGTATTTCAAATTCAGTAGGTCTAAAATGAAACTTAGTTTCTACCAACACATTTTCCAGAATTCTGTTTGTAGGTTGCCATCATAATTCTATCAGGTTCACACCCTTCAAATAATCCTTTATCAGAATAAAAGATCCACCCTCACAATTTGATCAGTTGCTGAGTCTTATGGATTGATTTCCATAACATCTATTGCATCTGTCCATTTACCACTCAATTGATCACCACCCTAATTCAGGCTTTCATCTCCCTTTACTGCTATGATTAGTGGTAAGATCATGTCTTATCACTATGAAGACACTGTTACAATAGCTTCCATACTGGTTTCCCTGCTTTAAGTCTCTCTTCTCTCTGATTATCTATTCCACAATTGATAAAATAGTTTCCCTAAATAAGAAGTCTGATCATGTCACTCCAGTGCTCAAAAACCTTCAGTGGCTATACAATGTCTCCCAGGTGACAACTCTGTCATCTGTCATTTAAGGTCCTCAATGAACTAGTTCCGACCTACCTTTCTGCAATTTTTCATGCATTACCTATGAAATCTACATTGAAAACGAATATCATAAGAGAATAGGTTTAAACTTGGAAGGAACCTTTGAGATTATCCAACCTCTTCTCATTACAGTTGGGGAAATTGAGTCCCACAGAGATTAAGGTACTTATCTAAGGTCATATACCTAGAACATATGAGGCATTTAATAAATGCTTGTTAAATGAATGAATGATTAATAGAGGATTAAGACCCAGGTCTTCTAATTCATATTCTTTCTGTTCTATGCCGTTATAGTATTCTTTTTTTTTATTGCACTATTATATTGAGGGTTTTTTTTTCGATATCATGGATTTTTTTTTCTACACCCTTTTATAGTTGTCTTAGACTCTCATCCTGAGTGAAGACCCCATTTTTTTTTTTGGTCAAGGCAGTTGGGGTTAAGTGACTTGCCCAGAGTCACACAGCTTGTTAAGTGTTATGTGTCTGAGGCCAAATTTGAACTCAGGTCCTCCTGACTCCAGGGCTGGTGCTCTATCCACTGTACCACCTAGCTGCCCCTTCTGTTTCTTTTCAAGAAGCAGCACAGAGGCAGAGGTACAAGTTCAAAATCAGAAAAACCTGGATTCGAAGTTCCATCTTTGACATACACAAAGACTGTATGACCTTGAGCAAGTCTTTTAACCTCTCAGTACCCCCAGACAACTCTGTAAGACTCTTAAGTTGCAAAACCAGTGCTGATCTACATTAGCAGAGATAGTTTACTCATTAGAGGTTATTATATACCAATGGAATTACAGGTTCAATCTGAAGGGGGAAAAAGTTCCCTTTCATGCATTGGAAATGCCAAAAAAATATCGTTTTTTAGGAATTTGATCCAGAATAAGAACAATTAAACTTCTTCTAGTCTTAAACAGAAAGAAATATTGAATCTTAGATCTGAAAAGGGCTTTAGAGATGATAAGTTGCAACCTATCAACCTATAGAGTGTAACCTTGTTTACAGAAAACTGAGTCCCAAAGAGGATAGACAGTTTGCCACCTGGGGCACAGCAGGGTAGAATCAATGATTGGAAATCATTTAGCGTATTTGTGCTAAAATCGTTTTCCTAGTAGTGGTCTTATTAGTGCTAATTATCATATCTTCTTTTTTCCCCCATTTTTAGTACTCACAGGTTTTGAAACCAACAACAAATATGTAATTAGCAACAGCCTTGGACAGAGAGTTTACTTTGCAGCGGAGGAAAATGATTGCTGTACTCGAAACTGTTGTGGAAACTTACGACCCTTTATTTTAAAGATTCTGGACAATACAGGCCGGGAAGTGATAACCATCAATAGACCTTTCAGATGTGTTTCCTGTTGTTACCCCTGCTGCCTCCAAAAGGTCGCTGAACATCTTTTTGTCTTGTTTCGGTCATGATGCTGCCTCAGAATTAGTGGACAGTGGTCTTTCCCATTAGAAACCATGCCATACGTGGATTGATTAATGACTACGTTTACACTGGGGGGTGGGGAAAGGTGGGCGTGGCACACGATCACAGTTTGCAATGGAGGGCTATTTTATGAAAGAAGGATTAGACTTGTATTTGACCCCAGAGGGTAAAACTAAGAAATAAGTGGAAATTTTAAGTACATGATTATTTGTATGTTATCTCCCTCCGTAGAACCTGAGCTCTTTGAAGGTGGGAGCCATATTTTTGCCTTTGTTTGTGTACCCCAGTGCTCAGGACGATCCCTGGCACATAGTGAATGCTTAACACATCCCTGTTGCCTTGAAGGTACAGAGAAGCAGACTGGCTTGATGTCATTAAAAACAACAGCAACTTGCTGACCATTAGATGTTGAAAAGCCAAATGGGCAGCCTTGTAATTTAACATTCAAGATCTTTAAGCAAAATCTGGATGACCACTTAAATGGAGAGATTATAGTAGAAGGAACCTTCCATTCAAGGCTAGAATAGTAATAGATGATCTCTAAGAACCCTTCCAGCTGAAATAAGTGGAAATAACTTCACTTGAACTTATTGTTGAAAATAAGTGGTGGGATCACAGAGAGGGCTGCAGTAGACATCACTGCAACCTTTAAGTTAGGAGTAGACTGACAAGACTAACACCCTGCCAGAAAAAAAAGTCAATCTATTTGCTTGGTTTCCATTAAATTTTCTTTCCAGCAAGCCCCTTCTAAAAGGCAGATATCCCTTGGGAGGATCATATAGGCCAATATCAGCTAACACTTTGATTATCCATTAATTCTTTAGCAGACAGTTGACAGCCAGCTGCTAAATAGGTACTTGATATATAGGGAAGGCCTAGGAGATGTCCAGGAGAGAAGAAAGACACTAATAAGGACATTGCCTATTTCTCATTTTTGCCTAGAGTCAGCCGTGATTGTGCCACTTATAATTTCCCTAATCTTGAGATTGGGATTAAACTCACAGAGTTTGGCTTAGAAGGGGCTTCAAAAGAAATCTATAGTCCAACTCATCCCTAAGAAAAGAGTTCCCTCCATCACATCATCGATAAATCAGGTCATCTAGCCTTTACTTGAAGATCTCCTGAATGGGGGAAGATGCTGTCCTTGAGTCATTCCATTGCACTTTTGGAAAATTCTAGTTTTAAGAAGTCATTCCTTATATCAATCCTAAATTTATAGTTTTGCAACATAAATCCATAGCTCCTAGTTCTGCCCTCTGGGGCCAAAAAGCATACGTTTCCTTCTTCTTCCATCTTAAAAGACTTGCAAATACTCAAAGGCAGCTTACATGTCCCCTACAAAGTTTTCTCTTATTCATGCTGAATATGTCAAATTCATTCAAACAATTTTTGAATGAAATGGTCTTGGTGCCACTCATTAGGCTAATGCCCTCCCTTCTCGGAAATATTTCCAAACTATTAAGGTTTTTGTCAAAATGTGGTACATAGAATCTAACACAACACTCCAATCTAATACCAGGGCACCAATACAATGAGACTATGTCATCCATCATTCTATACGCAATGCCTACCTTAACTCAAACCAAAGTCTTGTTAGTTTTTTAGGCTACCAATTCCTTATCAAAATGTTTTGAATTTGCATGCCTACTAAAACTGGTTTTGAACTTGCATGAACTTGTTTTGAATTTGCATGTCTACTAAAACTTCCGCATCTTTAGCAGTTAAATTACTGTTTAGTTATACCACCCCTATCTTGTGCTTGTAATGGTGATTTGCACACTCCAAGTGTGGGATTTTGCATATATCCCCATTATGTACCATCTTATTAAATTTGTCCCAGTGTACTATTCTGTCAAGATTTTGATTCTATCATCCACCAAGTTAGTGATATTCCTTCCCCACCACCAAAGCTTTGTGTCACCTGCAAATTTGGTTAAGCACCCATCTATGCCTTAACCTAAGTCACTGATAAAAAATGTTAACTGGAACAGAGTCAAAACAAATCCCTGATACTTGGCATCAAAAATTTCTTTTCAGAGTTGACATTGAAGTATTAACATCATTCTACTAGTTTCTGAATCCACTTAACCATTCTATCATCTGGCCCATATCTGGTCCCAAAGATGACATGAAAAATTCTCAAAAGCTTTACTGGTATCTAGGCCAGTTATACCTTGAGTTTTCCTTTTCCATCAAATAAGAAACATTGTTGGAAAAGGTTATGATGTTAATTTGATGGGTCAGAAGGTATTGGTGAGACTCCAACCTACCAGGGCAATGGGTGGGGAGAAGAGAACATAGATTAAGCGTTGAGTGAGCACATGGATAAGAATACCTAGCCTGCCTCCATGAAGAAAAGATGTTCGCTGGACTTTGTGTGACAGAGCTCAGTGTGCTTTTTATAACTCATCTTTCTTCTCTGGTCTTACTTTCTCTGCCAGAGGCATATATATATACCGACCTAGCTACCTTTTTGTAGTAAGCCTAGCAAAGGCCATGGTTGTTAACCCTCAGTGTGACAATGAGCAAAGCTCTAAAAATAGGTTACTTTTTTTTCTTTTTTTCATAATAGCATGCCACAGTTACATAAACAATCCTTGAACTGAGTTGTCTAGCCTTTCCAGTCCATTTCTTGATCAGTTAACTAACAATAGTTACTTGGAATCACAGGAATATCAGAGCAGAATCTAAGTCTAAATAGTTTAAGAGAGTTATTTGAGAAATTCCCTACCATGGCATGAGCATACAAGCTGTTCTTAGGAGATTTTCTGAAGACTTTCCTCCCACTTTTAAGTAGCTTATTTTAAAAATTGAGGTAGTTTATGTTATTGTACTGTTTCTTTTCAATCTCTTTTCCTTTTGCAGTTGGAAGTACAATCTCCTCCTGGTGTACCAATAGGTTACATTACCCAAAACTGGCACCCTTTTCTGCCAAAGTTTACAGTTCTAAATGAGCACCATCAGGAGGTGCTGAAAATCCAAGGCCCATGTGTTGTTTCCAGATGTTGCTCAGACGTTGACTTTGAGGTAAGTTACATTGAAAATAGTATTTCTGAGTTTCTGCACTCAGCATAAGAACAAAAAATAATCAAGTTTAAATTTTCACTCATTTTGAAAAGGTTGCTTTAGCTGCTAGCACACTTTAAAAATAAGAAGTTGTGTTTATAATTTGATGTCTTTGTTCCAATTGGGAGGAAATATTCCTGGAGTATTATTTAAATATGTGATTTTTGTGGCAGCTAGATGGCTCAGTGAATAGAGCACTGGCACTGGAGTCAGAAGGATCTGAGTTCAAATCCCTCCTCAGACACTTACTAGCTGTGTGACCCTGGGCAAGTCACTTAGCTTCCATTGCCTCCCACTACCCCCCCAAAAAATGTGATTTCATAAAACTGTATCTGGTGATATTTCACAGAAGCATCAAATGTTAGAGGTGGGAGGGACTTTAAGATCTATAGATCTAAGCTCCTTAGAAAGATTTTGGAGATGAGGAAAGCGAGATCTAGAGAAGTAAAAGAATTTGCCCAGTTCCTCAGCTAATAAGCAACAGAGCAGGGACTGAAACCAAAGTCTTTGGTTGCAAGTCCAACCAGCTCTCTGTTTACCCCTACATCCTCCCAAATTATACTGATGCTAAGATTAAAAATGATTTACTTTTATCTCTTAAAAATAGATTCAGTTGAACTAGAAGAGGGATAAATATGTGATTATATGTGTTAGCAACTTGTTTATTTGGTTTTTAATAGAATCAAGAAACAGACCCTGTATTATAATCTGAGAGGTTAAACTACAGAGAAGAGGGGGTGGGGTGGGGGAAAGTAACTGACCCCTATAACTGAATACAAATAAATAAACCAACTAAATGATTTATGATGTTCATAAGTGAGCGCTGCTCAATGTTGGAGGAAATGTGGCTTATTAGTATCAGGCAATCGTAGATGGGATCTTTAGTTGCCCGCTAGTACAATGCCTTCTTTCTACATATGAGCAAACTGAGGCCCATAGGGATTGAGAGACTTTCAGAGGTTATGCAGGCAGTAGGTGGCCAAGGTGGGCTTTGAAAGCAAGCCCTCTAATGCCAAATCCATTGGTCTTTCCACTTTACTATGCTGCTTCTTGTGTGATTAATTATGAGGTTCAGCAGTAGAAAATGGCACATTTGTCAATGCTAAAGCAAAGCTTTGAAAAGAATTATACTGAGACAGGCCTAACCATGCTGGCTTTAGTTTGGTCAGCCAGGGCTGACAATGGATTTTTCTAGTGTCTGCCATTTCCCTAGATGTTTTAGCTACCTGTTTTAATCTATACGGTAATCTCTTCTCTTTTGAGCTATTAGTTTTCACTCTCCCTAAGGCAGTTAGTTCAGTATTTTCTATGCTTTTCACATAAGTGGAAGTTAAACACTGCTCGAAATGGGTGGCTTTAAATGGGTTTTCCCTCCTCTCCCCTTGGACTCTTATCTCTTTGAATCTTTTCACACGATTTCTTTTCCTCCACCGATGTTTCCTCCCTATCCTTTTTATGATGATTTATAATTTTGAATCTAAGATAAAGCAAAAATGTCTTCTCCTCACCTCAGAATTTGATAAAATTCCCACCCATATATTTTAAAGTAATAGTAGTACCATTGTAATATATCTGTACTATATAGCTCATTTAAAAACAATTCAAAATTCTATAGGGGATGCTGCATATACTACTGTGATTCTAGTAGGCTTCCCAGTGCTAAAGCCACAGGGGACATACCAGTTCCAGAACACCTACAGCTAACTCCTTTCCCTATGAATGTGAGTTAGATAACAATTTCAGAGACCATGCTGACACCTACAGTCACAGGAAGAGAGGATTTGATTTGGTGTTTTTGTTTTTTTTTAGTAAATTTATGTTTTTACTGTTTAGTTTAGGGAAATCCTAGGAGAAACTCCCTCTACCCTCTATCTGACCTGATTTGCAATTTAGTAGTCTTAGAGAATTGCTTCCCTACAGAAATAGCTACCACTTTAGCTCCATATACTAAAGTATATAATGTAACTATCAAGGAACCCCAATGAACAACAAGAATAAAAGATGCTATCACAAAAATATGTGATAGAAAGAGAAGGGCTGGTCAAATACTGAGAGCAAGGGATTCATGGGTATGAATAACCACAGGGTCCCACTAGTAGTCTTGTTTTGTTTGGAGAAAGTGTAGAAGGCCTCTAGGATTTTTGGTTCTGGGAGTCATAAAGGATAGGCAGACATGAATTTGTAGTGATGGAGGGAACTCTTAAATTCAACGAGATTATAGATTCATTTGAGTATGCGTGACAGGGATTAATTCAGGAAATCTGACTTCATGCAGAAATATTTTTTCTCAGATAAATATTTTCCAATTTATGCATGAATTGCTTTCTCTCTCTACTGGCAGATACAATATGTGTTTTACAAATAATAGTATCTATATGACACCCTTTAGTGTACTAAAAATAAGATCTTTTCTCATTCTATGTTGAAGAAATGTCTGAGATTATAATTTATTTCCTCATTAGATAACATCTCTTGATGGAGAGACTAAAATTGGAAAAATTACAAAACAGTGGACAGGATTTATAAAAGAAGCATTTACAGATGCTGATAACTTTGCAATTCAGTTCCCATTAGACCTCGATGTGAAAATGAAGGCGGTGATGTTGGGTGCTTGCTTCCTTATTGTAAGTACATGATTAATAATTTTGTTTGCTTTATCCTGGTTTCATTAATTGGAAATAATCTTATACATGACAAATGTGGAAATATGTTTTGCATGACTTCACATGTGTAATGGGTATTGTATTTCTTGTCTTCTCAATGGATGTGGTAGGGGGAAGAGTGAGGGAGAGAATTTGGGACTGAAAAAATACAATTGAATTAATATAAAAGAAATAATAGATCAAATTGTGCTTTAAAAATGAATGTTTTATACAAAAAGTAGTCCTTCATCCCACCCACAAATTTGATGTCATTCTCGGTCGCCTTTAGATTTCAAGACCTAGTATAGCACAGAGGTGTCCATTATGGTTCAGAATGACCCAAGAAGGCCTAGTCTGAACTAGTCTCGAAAGACCCTTGCTAGTTTATATTTTTATTCCTTACAACTCTAGGCATTTGGAATCCAGGCCTTGGAAAATACCCATGAAACAACATTGGTTCAAGTCAAATGAAGTGGGGATCCTTGAGCATAATTCAGGATCATTACCCGGTATCTTCACCCTCTGCCTCCAGAATAAATTTAACTGAATTCTTGGAGACAGGACTTCATGTCATTGTTTACAAACTTGTGCATGGTTATTTCTTCACATGAATGCCATTTTTTTTCACATGCCCCTCTAAGTGTTTTGCCATAGTCATATATTTATTGGATTCAGCAATGTAGTAAAGACACTAAACCACTTACTTTGTGTGAAGTATCATATTGTCCCTGCTCTTAAAAAGCTTAAAATCTACTTGGAGAAATGGGACATTTACATGGATTACTGTAATCTTTCCAACCATTTTTGATTGACAAGGTGGGGTGTGATTAAAGAAAAGGAGAACTCTAGACAAAATACTCTAAGAAGATTTGAGGAGGGAAAGAATGCTTTCAGAGAGTATCCATCTGACATAACCAGGGAAAGACTTCCATGATGGAGGTATAGTATTTGAACTGAACCTTGAAAGAAGAGAAGAAATTTAACAGAAGCCAATGAAGAAGGAGTATATTCTAGAAATGGGGTCAACCGGTAGAAATGTGTAGGAGTGAGAGATGGCCAGTTGAAATTGGGGAAAAAATCAGTTGGGGAAAATAGAGTTGAAAGGGGCTTTACAGGTCATTGGATTCATTTATTTACAGAAAAGGTAACTGAAACACAAAGAATTTGAGAGTGATAACTAGAAGCCAGGCTTCTGGCTCCCAGCTTATATTCCCTTAACCATATAATGTCAGAAGAGACATTAGAGGTTATCTATTCCAAACTGTCTTATTTTACAGATGAAGAAAAGAATCTAGATGACTTTCTTAAGGTCACACAAATATTATAAATCTCAGAAGGAATTCAGACCTGAATTTTTTTACCCCAAATTCGGTGTTGTTTCATTTATTTGGTTAAAAAAAACACAGAAAACTTATTTTCATAAAATCTTAATTAGCTGTTTGTATTTTACCTATATAGATTGTTCTGCTATAGTAATTTCCTGTACTAATTCCTATAGTAGTATTTCATCTCCAACACATACACACATACACACATACACACACACACACACACACACACACACACAAACACACACTTTTTTCTTTACTTTATGAAATGTGATTAATTCTCATCATTCTGTCCCTCAATACCCAAGGGTTAGACAAGATTGCCTAGAACCTTCCTTCAAGCTCTATTTCTGTTATCCTGTCCAGTCATAAAAATCCATTTGATACCCATATAAAGAGAGAGGAAAGAACAAAACAAAATTAATGAGCATTAGTACATTGCTCCAAAACGATCCTTTTAAAATACTCCAAGATGCTTTTACTCTTAGCTGGTTAAGACCTTATTAGAACCCTATTCCCAACTTTGAGCAAGAAGGTAGTTGTTGGACTTGGAAGATCTGAATCGGGTTAACGCTGTGGTTCTTCGGCTCAGGCTGAGGCCCTTGGCCCATGCATCCTGAAGGGTTACTTCCCACAGATCATGGATTTGGAGCTAGAGGCAATCCTAAAGGCCATCTAGTTAAACTTTTTGCCATTTTACAAAAATGAGAAAACTGAGACTGAGAGAATTTTAAGTAGTTTGCCCAGAATCACAAAGATGGCAAGCCTGGAATTTGAATCTAGAGTCTCTGACTCCAAATTCAACGCTATTCCCAATGCACTGTTCTGCCTCACACCTTGAAGGGACAGAAGCTAAAACGTGATAATTCATTGCTCTGCCCAAGGGAAGGATACTTTCTAAATTGGATTTGTTTTTCATTTTTAAGTATTTGGCACTACCTATGTAGTTGTGTGGTTCGTCGTTCTTTCTTGAAGAGGACCATAACATCAGGGAGATGATGGCATGATTTACAATTGAATTGGATTTGAGGGAGGGAGGGCTGTGCAAAGTCACCAGCCTCGCTTTCTCCTCCAGAGCCATCTGGGTCCAGTGGCCATATATAGATCAGGATGACTAGAGGAAAGACCTTGGCCTTTTTAAGCTAAGGTCTTTCGGAGTTCTCACTTTGAGTGATGCAACACCCATTCTATTTAAAATGTGAGCCAAGGCATGGCCCCTTTAATCAAAAAAGAACACTGAGAATCACAAAGTAGCCCATCAAGGATGAGGTCATTCATCTGAGCTAGAAAACCACATGCTGTTTGTTTCCTTCTCCAAATCAAACCTACAGATTACAAAAGCAGAAACTTACTTGGAATCTTACCCAGATTCTTCATCAGTTAAAATTTTAACCCAATTCTCGATGATGTTTCTCAATGGTCCAGATGCAGTTTCCAGTGAGAGTGCTGTGGCTTACTTTGGGTTGAAAGACCTGAGTAAGCGTCTCAGTTCTCTAACTCCTTGTATAAATGTGATTTTAAGAGCAAGCTTCATAGCTCTATACTCAAATTTATCTGAAGTCTACCAGAAAGGAAGAGAAGATGGAAGAGAAGAATTAGAAAATGATTTGAGGGAAAGACTAGAGAAGAGATCGAAACACATATATATATGAATTTTAGCTAGCTATAAGTTAAACTGAGAAAAATAAAAAAAAAAAAACTTTTCCATACAAAAAAGACATAGCCCAGAACCATTTTATATGGTAGGCACTTTTATCTTAATGTCAAATATTAATTGAATACTGTCCTCAAAACAAGCATTCTACATTCAAAACAGATTTGATCTATCAGACCTGGTAGTAGAAATGTCATGGCACTAGTAAAACATAAGGGAGCGAAACAGAATCTGAGATTAGAAATGGAAGAAAGATTCAAGAGGAGAAAAACAAAGGGGAACGTCAATGGAAACCTTGAAGAACTAATTAAACTCACTCATGGCTGAATAGAACAGAGCTAGAAGAGTGAACTTAACATGAGCATGATATGCTGTGGCCCAGCACCCCAGGTTCCAGGCATACAAAGACAATACTTAATCTCAAATTAATGGTGAACCCTCGGATTATCTCTCTTTGGTCTAGTTTGGCCTCCACTCAGAGGACCCTCTATGAATACCAAATGTTACGCATTTCTAAATTCCCATTGGTGTAGATAAAAAGGTCCCTCATTTCCCATATAAACATTCAACGTATATTCAAGTACAGGAAATCTTTTATTTTACTACATAGAAAATTCCAAACAACAGAATGGACTCACAGTAGCCATAAGCAGTTGATACCTTTCTTCTGCTGCCTCATGGTACTATCCTAAATTTGTTTCCTAGAAGGAAAACAAACTTTAGTTTGCTAGAGAGGCAATTCCTGTATGCATTAGCCTTATATCTCCAAGTCACTCAGGATAGTAATAGAAAAGTCGAGACTTTTGCTGTTCTGTATGGCTCCTTCAGCTCTTGGATCATATATTCAGTCACCTCGCTAAGAGAAGGGTAATAGTGCA